TTGACACCTTGTGAATTTACTGGCCAACAGTTCACGCAGATTCGACACACAACAAGATACCTGTTCTTGTTCAGATACCAAGACAAGCTATAGCGATCAAAGAGAGTGTAGAAAAAAAAGTTTTCTGAAAAACTTATTCAGTTGGATAGCCAACTACCACACTGCACTAATTTGCCAAGATACCAAATTGATGTATAGAAGCATAAAGCAAAATGTTGAAGTAAAGCTAATCTACCAGGCGTCGAGCCTCACATAAAGTAGATGACTAGAAGACAGGAAACCAAACCACCAGTGCTATCTACGCGAGAGGGACCGGGTTCTGCGGCATTAAAGGATACTGTCAGTACTGGAGAGAAGAAGAAACAACTTAATATAACCAACCGCAGCAGATAGATTAAGGCGCTAGTGATAGAAGGTAGCGAAGCATATTTGCCAAGCGGAAGTCATTACAACGGAACAAACCAACCAGCCAGATGCCAAAAGACAGCAACGTGATGCAGATAACATCATGTGAGTTCTCCAACTGACGACACCACATTCTGGAAACCATTTTGATCCGACAGTACAGCGTTGGACAAGCGTCATTTACTGCCCTTACTATGCTGGCAATAATGAGAACTGATTACAGAGAACCTGCTGGGGAAGCGATATGTGGTCAAGTTAAGGAAAACCAGGGACGGAGTGGTCGCCAAACTCAACAAGGTGACGAAAACAAGCAAGCTAATTCACGACATAAAGGAAAACAATTAGAAAGAGTTATAGGTAGTATCCAGAGCCTCGCATTTTATAGAATATCAACTGGTCGAGAACGATGAGAACTTCCAAAAAGTCAATTCAAATAAGAAGTGTGTATGCCAACTGCTTCAGCCCTGATGGGGTCAGATATCTGGGCTGCCCATACCTCCAGCCTTATCAGGCGATGATGAAAACACGATGCACCAACAAGCAGTCCATTCCTGAATACAGCACATCTTCAAGGCCAGTTTGCGTAGAATAGCGGCATACAGGTTATATCAAGCGACGATTATCCAATGGAAGCACAAAAGAATACAACTGACCCAGAAGAAAACAATCCAAGCAAGAAATAGAATGACAGCCTGGAACATTTCATATGGCGATTTGGGATATACCGACAACGCTGATGTAGCCTGGTCAAGATAGCGATAGAAAATGGGGAACCTAATGGCGGAACAACAGGGAGGCAGCTACCAAACGAACACAAAGAACTGGTACAGCAATATTGCCATGAATAGCTCAGAAAGCCCCACTATAAGCATACGCAACAGGAGGCGTCAGATACTGCAGTGCCTGTATGTAGATGTCAGGGTGGATAGTTCGGTCCCGCATGTCAGTTCGTCGATCTAGCTTACAACACAGAACAACAAAATGCCAGGCTCGGTTTATCAAGATGAAGAACCAAGATTCTCAAATAGGAGTCCTTATAAGGACGAATCCTGATGGCTAATTATAAAGCATTAGAGGTGAGGGGGAGGGGGTTCAACTCCCATGAACATCCCGGCTCCCACAATACACATTTTGTGTAGTTAAAACTCGAAAAGAGGGTGGGGGGGGGGGGGGGGGAGCTGAAATTAGGACAATTCTGGGCAGCTCGTGTCTGCCACACCCAAATAAGCTTCTTCTGTTTCTTCTTATTATTATTTTCTTCTGCCTTGTACCTCAGCGAAGTGTCGGGGGGGGGGGGGGGGGGGGTGTGTGTGTGGCTCCATCAAGAGCACTTTTAAAATTGATGTTAATTTCTATAAGGCTGTTCATAATGCCATCACTCACATTTTCCTAGGACTTACTTTCTCGCTCTATACGTAACGTTTCAGTGAATAGGTCTGTTGTGTTGACGCTTGTGCTCGGTGACAGGCATTAGATAAGACATGTTCCGGATACCCTCGGAGCCGGAAGAAGTCTAAAATTTCTAGTGCCCTGTGGTGAAAGTCGCTGTTTTCCTGGAATAGTCCGCGGAGGCGTAGAATCTGGGAGAATGGAACGGAGTCCTTGCAGGAAGAGGGATGAGGGGACGTGTAAAAAAAAAGCATGGTAATCAGTAGGCTTGTAGTATACCAAGGTGCTGAGGCCTTAAGAGTCCACGGTGACAGTAAGTTCCAGAAAATGCACGGACGAAGGTAAAATACTCAAAGTGCAACTGATGCTGGGATGGAAGTTGGAGAAAAAATGAATGAAGTTTTTGCAATTCAGGTAGCAACATATCGGTGACATATCTTTGTAGAGCTCAATGAGCCTAATCGTATAAGTGTGACGTATCTGATGCTCGAGGTGGCCTATGAAGTGGCAGGCATAACTGGGCCACATCTTGGTGCCCATAGCGACGCCGCTGATCTGGTTGAAGTAGTGCCCATTAAACTTGAAACAGTTTAGAGTGAGCACTAACAGCCAGACGTCTCAAGGGGTCAGTGGCTATAGCAGGGCTGACTCTACGATCTAGAAAGAACAGCAAAGCCTGGAGCCCGCCAGAGTGTGGAATAGAGGTGTAGAGAGAGGTAACATCTAAGGTGATGATGTGGTACCTGGAAGAAGAGGTGAACCGGATGGATTAAAAAACAGAAATAGCATGGTTGATATCCTTGATGTAAGACGGAAGACCAACGACCAGGGGCTGCAAGATACGATCAAGGAACCCGGATATGACTTCTGTGGGACAAGCTCTTTTGGACACGATCGGTCTGCCTGGTTTGTCTAGTTTGTGTATCTTAGGAAGCCGGGCTTTCCCTGACAGCTATACTCGACAAATAAAGAGCTGGCCCGAGCAGGTAGAAGATCGTCCTTGACCAAGGTAGTGATAGTAATTTGTTTACTTTTTTTTTCTGTACCATCGTGTGACTGGGGTTCATAGAACGAGGTGTCACTGAGTTGCCTGTCCCCTTCCTACACATATACATCGTTTCTCCAGACTTCTACCGCCACTCCCTTATCCGAAGGTTTAATAACAATACCATTAAGACGTTTCAATCGAGTGAGTGTCTGAAGTTCTTGAAGCAAGAGGTTAGAGTGCCTGCGGGGTTTGAATTTCAATTATCTAATCTTGACAGGGGTTTTCTTAAAGTATAAATCCAAAGCTCTAGATGCCCCACAATTGGGAGTCCAGGAAGACCTAGGTTTGAGAAACTCGAGTCTGTGGGCACAGGCGAATTAGTTCTCTCATGTCGGGTGCTGTGATCCACGGCCTTCTCTGTTTATTAGAGAAGGCGTTGCCGTCATCATATTGCAACCTGAGCCTACGAAAAAGGCTGTGAGCGTCTTGCAGGAGAGCGTATCGATCGCTAGAAGGGCCTAAGGGTACAAACACAACTTGTGGGATCTAATTTTTTATTATTTTGCCGGGGGTCCTAAATATAGCCGGGCCTGAAAAAAAAATATGACCTAACGGCCCGGGTTAGGGTTTACCGGACCTCTGCACGGGTAAACCTTATCCGCATCGTGGCACTTTGTATCACCAGGTGTTTATCGCTTGTTAGTTAGTTAGTTAGTTAGTTAGTTAGTTAGTTAGGGTTATCCTCATTGCACTCCGGACATGTCCATAGGTGCTCAGATCCTCCCCTCAGTATGAACCCCAACGTCCGATGGCTAATAGTACCAGTTCTATGTTGATTAACAAGTCTTCTGGCGTAGCTGGTGTGCGTCTCGTTTTTTGCTGTGCCGATCTTAATTCCCAAGTCAGCCATTCTGGCGAGTGATGTGGATTCACTGCCACCAAAGTCCTCTATTCTTCCCATTTCTCTGAGGGCATTGATAATATCAGCATGATCCATAGGCTGACCGTCGGTAGTGATAGCGGATCCAGCCAACCTGTCAGCTGTTTCATTTCCATTGACGCCTGCGTGTCCTGGAACAAAAATAAAGGTGACTCCACGAACAGTGGACTTCTGTAATGATTCAAGCCATTGTCTTCGCACTGAACCTGCCTGAACCCTCCGGATCATACTCATTGAATCACTGAGTATACACACGCGGGTGTATTTTTGTGTTTCAAGCCAGGCAAGCGCTTGTGTCACTGCCATCACCTCCATCGTCATGCTGCTGGTTGTCATGGAGAAGGCGCCGTTGGCTTCTTTGACTGTTCTGCCCGCTGAGCGTGCTGTAAATGCCCATGCGCTTCTTCTTTGGCGTATAACGGATCCGTCTGTATAGATTATTGCATCTGCTTCGTCTGAATTTTCACCGATGAGAGCGTTGACCTCTGCATTAACAGCAACAGGATTCTCTTCTCTACATCGCCTGTTGAGTGTGACAATACAGGAAAATGTACAAATAAACGCCTGAGGCACAGGTATCCATTCTGCACCAGGTATGATGTCGGTTAGGCTGCATATTTGCCTAATAACATCTTCTGCCCGACCTAGCCACGATTTCCCCCTCTTCAGTCTGTCGCCCTTTTCACTAAAAAGCGCTTGATGCAGTGGGTGTTTCTTATCAGCGCATATTTTGAGATATGCCCGAGCCCTCCACATCCTGATCCTTTGGTTCATTGTTGGAAAGTCAAGTAGATACCTCATTGCTCCACAGGATGTGTCTCTAGTACATCCCAAAATAATGCGCATGGCTTCATTTTGCACCTTTTCGAGTCGTTCAATCTGGGTAGCACTGACAGTGAGGATGGCCAGAGCGTATTCAATGGGGGAAAGGACCAGACCATAGAATAGAAGTATTAGTAGTCTTTGCTCAATATTGGAAGCAGCAATCGCTTGTGTGAAGTCCTAGTGGGGCACAATTTACATACATACAAACATGAATCACACAATTTCGATGAATTTTCTGATAAATGAAACACACAAAAGTCCTGTGCGCATCATACTCGACTGCTGTAAAGACACATCATGTAAATAATTTTGTAGGGGGCGCTTTAAAAAAAGAATCTTTTTTAGCTGTTCCTGTCTACGCCGCCATTTTGAAATTTCGAGAGATTATCGTTTCAGCGAGCCGTATCCTAACAATTTCATCTATAAGCTATTCGTCTGTAGCATTTTGTTAATATGGCTCAGTACATTCAAGTGGTAGAGGATGAAAGCGACGAACCAGTCGAAATTCCCATAGAAAATGATGGAACATTGCTGATAACGACGCTTTCTGCACAATTTCCAGGCGCATGTGGTCTTAAATATCGCAACCCAGAGAGTGGCGCGTTTCGTGGCATTCGTCTTGTGGATGGAGTTCTCATTCCACCAGATGGCATTTCATCTATGTGGGGTAATCACCAGTATGTTGCGGTTTTTCCAAAAGGTGAGCTTTTTCCTTTGTTGAGTGTATGGCGTATGTATATCATCTATGAAATGTACTAATATTATACAATTATTAATTTGAAAGCTGTACTGTGTGACCCTCGACAATTTTGGCGGCAGTTTCTTCTAGATGATTCTTACTCTGCGGGCTATGTTAATATATTTTGGCTCTACTGGCAAATTTGGCCGGTAAGCTTTACTGCTTCGGCCGGCTTAGCGGGGCTTAGTGGGAGTTATGTCCCTTGGCCAAACTCAAAACAACTAAAAAAAAAGTCATCATCCGGGTGCGTGTAGGGTTGCGTAGGGTGTCTATCATCGTCCTACGGTTGCGTGTAGGGCTGCTTATTGCGTGTAGGGTTGGTTGTTTGCGTAAGATAGATGAGGGGTAGGGTTAGGGTTAGCGTTTAGGGTTTAGTGTTAGGGTTTAGGGTTAGGGTTTAGCGTTTAGGGTTAGGGGTTAGGGTTTAGGGTTAGGTGTAGCGTTAGATGTGACAATTGTGACGCCGTAGTTCCCTACAATCGCGCACAGTCGCATGCACGCGCAAACAGTCGACGGACAGTGGATGCTACTGACACGGACAATTCGCCACCAATTGGGGCACCAGCCGACGCGCGCTTTTGCCGTCATATTTGGCACACTTCCAGTGGCGCCACTCCCACTAGCATCAGATTGTCGGCCAGTATTTCCACCTCCTACGTGAATATTTTTACATCATCTAACCCTAACCCTACCCCTAACCCTAACCCTACCCCCTAACCCTAACCCACATCCCTAACCCTACCGCTAACCCAAACCCTACGCAACCGTATGATGATGATGATAGACACCCTACGCATCCCTACATGCAACCGTATGATGATGATAGACACCCTACGCAGCCCTACGCGCAACCGTATGATGATAGGTACCCCTAGACGCAACCCTACGCAGCCCTACACGCACCCGGATGATGATAGGTAAGTATGTCATTTGATTCGTGACTTTTTCCGCGACTTGTTTTGAGTTTGGCGAAGGGACATAACTCCCACTAAGCCCCGCTAAGCCGGCCGAAGCAGTCCAGCTTACCAGCCAAATTTGCCAGTAGAGCCTATATTTTTACTCTGTTATTTCTTATGAAGTAGGCATGCTCGTGTTAATCAAAGCAACTAGGTAACACTGGCAGTCTAAAATGGGAGAATAGAAAATACGGCTCTCCTCCGAACTTCTACCCCCGCATTATGATATGGCGGCCTGAAATATCCGTTCGGGGCTCAGTCCAATGAAAAATGCGGACTTTCTGCCAAGGAACAAATCGCGGCAAAACTAGCATTACTTGACAATTTTAAGAGACACAGCATTGCAGACGATAAAAGCGACCGATGACAATGTCGAGCATTTCTGCAGACGATACTAGCAGACGATAAAAGTGACCGTTAACAATTTCGAGACATTACAAATTACAGACGATGAAAGCAATATGGCGGGTAGACCACGCGCTCCCACGCAGATTAGCAATACTGTTCTTCTGATTGAGGATTTAGCAGCGATGGATGTCAGACTTGTCAGTATGCGCAAAACGCGATTAAACTCACCGCCGAGTTTATCCCCCGCATCGTTATACGTGGCGAGGATGGGGGACTAAACTAGGTGCCTGGGGCTTACGAGCAAAGTAGTTGGAGGAAATTGCAGGAGATGGGGTAGCTGCTGCTCGTGAGTCCCAGCCATTTAGTTTAGCCCCTACCCCGCGTAGCGGAGGATACTGTCGGCGGTAAGGCATAGTCACAGAAATATGTCCGCAAGTAACATATCGCTGAGACCGTTAAAGCATTTGTTTTGTTTTTTTGAGCCGATCCTAGATTTGCCGCGATTTGTTCGTCTGCAGAAAGTCCGACAATGGAAAGTGTCAATGGTCGCTACTATCGTCTGCAGTGTTGCGTCTCTTAGAATTGTCAGGTGATCAGAAACAATAAGAAACAGGTCCACAAGTAACATAACGCTGAAACCCTGTTAGAGCATTTGTTTCGTTATAACGGAGCTGGCATATTTTTAATAGAACTGAGCCCTAAACGGATATTTCAGGCCGCCATAATGCGGGGGTAGAAGTTCAGAGGAGAGCCGAAAATACGGCTATCCTCCAAATAACAGGGACAAATGGCGGCCAAAAACACACCCTAACAGGGCCTCAGTCACATGTAAATTGCAGACTTCTAGCGACCACCTAACTGCTGAAGTATCTCCCACGCCGCTACGCGCAGAGTGGAGCGGGGCTAAACTAGATGGCTGGGACTCACGAGCAAATAAAATAAAGGAAGCTGCAGGAGATGCGGTGGAAGTCCGCAATTTACATGTGACTTAGGGTGTGTCTTTGGCCGCCATAATATGTGCCCGTTATTCGGGGGATAGCCGAAAATACTGACTAGGTTGGAAAGAGTAGCTAAAATTGTCAGTTTCTCTAAACCAGAGGAAATGCTAGACTCCGAAAGCCTTTAGTTTAAAGACCTTTAGCTTTCCTTCAAACTTTGCCATAATATTATTATAGCGGCCAAACAAATACCCTTCTTCTTCTTCTTTCATTCGCCTGAAATAAGTTGTCTATATCAGCAGTTTTGTCTATTGTATAAATTTCACTATCGTTGTTAGTTCATCCAGTGGTCCATAGAGTTTACGTTCCACTGTTGTTCTTTCTGGTCAAAAAGTTTGCCTTAATGTGACAAATTCGGTGCAGTCCTAGAGTACATGCTCTGCTGTCTGGGGCACCTTTCCACATGTGTACATGGCTGAAATGCCTAATTTGTAATGCAATATACATATTACGAACACTGATAGAAAGATCAGTGGACATACAAAAGGACTTAAATTTGTGCTTTATAGATTATACTAAAGCATTTGACAAAGTTAAACATGAAGAAATGGTACAAATGTTGGAAGACATCAATGTAGACGGGAAAGATCTCAGAATAATTAAAAACATTTACTAGAACCAAGTAGCAGCAATTAAAGTTTGAAACAGATTGGGTACTTTTGAACAGATAAAGCAAGGAGTAAGACAGGGATGTGTCTCATCCCTAGACTTTTTCTCTCTGTATAGTGTAATAATTTTGAGGAAAATCAAAGAGAATGCAGGAGTAAGAGTTGGAGGTTACGATATAAACAGTTTGCGTTATGCCACAGTTTTGTAGCTGAAAATGCAACTGATTTACAACAAATGCTGGATGTTGTGGGGATGGAGAGTTCCAAGAAAGGACTTTCATTGAATACTAGCTGTACCCGGCCACACGTTGCTGTGGCATAGTTTGGCTAAATGGAAAATAGAGAACATAGAAATCTGTCTTTGCTTCACGCCAGCGATGTACAGTGCAACAGCTAAACCACAGCTAATAATACTTGAGTGGGTAAGACAGTTACTGTAACTTAAATCTATCTCAGTAAACAATTTATTTTAACCACCCATTCCCCAGTTCACCTACTACTTTCTCCCTCATCGAAGTAGTTGGAAAAATTACCCTAGTGAAAAGCAATGAAAACAGGAAAAATACACCATAATTACGAAAGAGGTCCTGGGTAGTTAGCATCCTTAGGATATTTTCTCCAGGTTACGACGGTGTGTTGGGAAATGAGCAGGAGAATAGACTGGCCGGTTATGCACCACTTGGTGGTGAACTGATATATGACAAGCTGGATGTTGTGAGGGCCCTTTGGGAGCGAGTGAACAATCCCGAGGAACAGATAGATCATTACGGTCTGAGGAGAATGGCACTGCAAGGCGTTACAAGGGGATCTGGGTGACGCTCGAAACTTGGGGGAGGGGAAAGACAGATATACGATCAGATTGTTATTGGTACCATCGGAATTTTAACTCTGCGCTTGCTGCTGAAGATAGGGAAGGAGCGCTTATGGGGGTATCCCGAGTGCTGTGATGTCGATTCTTAATTCAACATTCCACTCTTCTCAGGCTGTGCTCTCAGGAGATCAGCTGGTCCATTACTTCGATGACCACACAGTTGGGTATATTCTTCTTCATCGAATTAGAGGCCTTTAATGTTGTTTCATCTGTGCGCATAAATAGTGACGCATGCATTAGGCATGACTTGGCCTGTTTCGTCCCAACACTCGGGTGAGTGAGGCCAGTGGCAACAGACATGTGAACCTTTTTGACAGTCAGACATTAGGACTTTGCTCGTTTGTCGTAGGACTTGTATGTGTCTGACATTTGAACCTAACCAGCAGTCTGACAGTGGCTGTTATGGTGTGCCTAAACATGCTGACTGTGACGTTGAGGGCCGAGAAACTGCCTGTAGGAGATGTTTGTCTTAGCTGCGAGCAAATCTCTTGGTCTAGGGCTGTATTTGAGCTGTTCAGTTGTTCTCTCACTTGACAGACTTTTAACAGAGTAGTCATTTAGTGACACATTCAGCAAGAGGTTTCTACTCATGTTTCAAATGAGTATTAATACACATTTTCAGCATATGTATTGGTGGTGGGCTGATGACAGCCAGACTGGATCCTACATCTCTGGGGCTCAGTAGCTCTAAGATCTGCTGCAGGCTCTGTTAATGACATTTAAGACATTATCCGTGATCTTGTATGAAGTTCAGTCACGACCATGATACATGACACCTAGATCTATGCATCCTTATTTGTAGCCAGCTTACATAAGCTAGAAATAAAATCAGCTAATCAGCAGTAAATTATCATTAGCATATTTTGTTATTGTAGTATTTTAAAGAAATGAGTGTTGTTTAAATTAACTATTCTGTGTGTCTTATATTTGTTTCGTCCATAGAAGTGTAGTGTGGAATGTCACATTTAATAAGATATGACATTTATTATGGGGACCATGTATGTCAGTACACCTCAGTCTCTGGTTACCAGTTTACACAAAGTCTCAGAATTTTAAATTTAACAAAAGCTGTTTTCTGGTGCCTTGCTGTTAAACCTGGTTTACAGTGAAGTGACTTCGTAATATTCACTCTGCACTGGTGTATCTTAGCTTATTTTTTTAATATCCTTCCTTGATAGACTTATAGTATACACAGACATTGTTGTTGTTGCAGAAAACAAACGTAAAGGTGATGATGGCTTTGATAACCCTGTGGCAAAAACAAAACGGCTGGATAACCAAAAATGCTCTGACCTTATTATTCTGGGGTTGCCGTGGAAAAGTACAGAGGATGATCTTACAGAATACTTTCAACAGTTTGGTGAACTTGTACTTGTTCAGGTAATATTTAGTCAGTCTTAAAAATCTGTTGTTATTGTTTTCATGATATATACACTTCATTCTAGCTGTATATTAGCAAAACTCTAAATTTTTGTTAATGATGAGAATACAAAGCTGAGTACAAAGTTGGTCATGAAAATTCTTTCTGTGTCATAAAGAATTAGCAACGTTCTTTATGTTAAACTCAACATAACAATCTAATCTTGTGTAACACATTAACAGAAATTCCAAAAAATAAAAATAGACGTGAGGGCCTCTCCCTCCAGAAACCCCACATAGTGTCATTCTGAACGTGTGTCTAGATTAGAAACCTGAAAGAGAAGGAACAAAAACTACCAATCCTACCCTGTTAACAGATAAGGCGGCATACATTTTTGATTGCCCACCAGTTGAAGAAGCCAGATAATCTAAACATCAGCTGGTGTTGCTTTTTGACTTAAAGCTAAATTGTGAAATACAGGCTTTCCCATCAGCTAATAAAAATTTCAAATCGGATAACTAGGCAGTTTTTATTTTTAAAACAGTATAATAATTTTATTTATATTAGTTCAGTTCCTTTTGATGAATTTACCAGGGATAATTCTGCTCATCAAAACAACCAGTCATATCTAATTATTTATTCACTTGGATGTTTCACGCCATAATGTCAACAGTTTTGTCAAATTTATTTATGGTTTTTTTTTATACGGTCCCTTATATCTTTAGAGAAAGATTAAACATTTTTTAAGTCACTAGTACTTTAGACCCATTAGTGACTTTATTGGTCGACTTTGTCACACCCGTAACTGTATATAATAGTCTTGACAGTAGTTTATGTAGTTTTTCAAAACATGACTACAGGTATGTCTTTTATGTTTAGGTAAAACGTGATATAAAGACTGGTCAGTCAAAAGGTTTCGGTTTCATCCGATTTGTCAATTATGAGTCTCAGGTGAAATGTTGTGCCCAGCGCCACATGATTGATGGCAGATGGTGTGATGTCACAATTCCAAACTCTAAGGTATGATTTTGCTTTTATGCACTTGTCATTTTGTAGGTTTGCAAATTTATTGGTATCACTCATATAAAACTCAAACGACAGATACGTGTAAGTACTGGGGTGCAAACTTCAACTGCTCCAACATATAGAGAAGAAATAAATCTGGAAATAAACCTTCAGCACCCGCTAATGTCACCTAAATGTTTTATCTGGATATATAAAACACTGATATAATCGTTTGTCCTATTGTTTTCTGAAACCTTGTGTACATTGAAAAGATATGAAACCTCATTACATACTTTTGAGAACAAAGTCGTATAAAGAATCTTTGGACCCATCTAAGATGCAAACAGCGAGGAATGAGAGTGAGAAGCAACACCGAAATTCATGTTTAAATCACCACTAACTTCTGGCATGGTGAGGACTAATAAACTGCACTGGTTGGGGCTCAAAAAGCAAATGGTAGATAACAGATAGGATGGTTTGAGAGAAAAGCATGTTCTTCAGAGCTAACTGTGAATATAATTTACTTGCTTTCTTGTGAAATGTTTTGCAATGAAGACCTTGCAGGTTCATATTTTCACAAAAAATGATTGAACGTTGTGGCACCCATTCCACAAACTAATGCAGAATAAAGTGGTTGTTGTTGATATCGATCCAGCGGCGCATGAGCTTTCGCCCTTTGCCCCAATGCCATTTAGTAGAATTTGCATGTTTTCACAAGCTGTTCTTTTCCTCTGTACATGGTGTTCCACTTGTCTGGTCTCGGAGGGAGTAGCATTCTTCTAGTCTCGCTGAGTTTTGGGCACTCAAAGAGATGGTGTTCAACAATTTCGTAGGGGTAGTTACAAAGCTGGCACTCTGGAGAGTGTTGTGGTTGTATTCTGTTTAGATGTCCACTGAGTAGAGTATGTTGTGTTCTAAGTCTGAAGATGGTGGCTTGGTCCCTTCTTGTTAGATGATTAATGCTGTCATTAGGATCAGGGCCAGCCATATGTCTTATGAACCTCTCTTCTAAAGTCTCCCATGGCCCATCTGTTCAACCAAGTCTCTTTGTTTATAGCTCTTATAAGTGTTTTTGCTGTCTGTAGGGTTGTCGCTGTAGGTGGTTGTTTTTGTGTTGCTCCTTTCTTTGCCAGTCTGTCAGCTCTGACATTACCTGGTGTGCCGGAGTAGCCTGGAATCCACTGCATCACTATTCTGATGTTGTATGTGGTAATAAGCTGATCAGCATCTAGGATTATCTTAGCTATGTCAGTTCTGCAGCGTTCACTGCCCTCCAGAGCTTAAAGGGCAGACATTGAATCTGTAAAGATGACAATATTTTGGGCCTTTAAAGTGTAAACTTCCATTACAGTCTTTAGGTGGTATACTGCTGTTTCCAGTGCAATTATTTCGGCTTCATAATTTGAGCAGAATTCCCCACATGTATCAAAAACCTCTTCAACAGATCCATCGGGATAACCTATGTAGATTCCGTAACCTGCTTTAAACGGTTACGGAATCTACATAGTTTTAAACGCAGATCCATCAGTATAAACATGTATCCATTCTTGGGGGTAAAAATCAACTATGCTTAGTGATGAGTTCATGAGCGATTGGGTCGGACTGTTTAGTTTCCTCACCTACCAATTTAATTCGAACTTCTGGAGCTTTAAAGCGAACATGTGGTGGTAGGTTTCTTGCAACATTCTGAATGCCTTGACGTCTTTCTGGGAGGTGGTATCTGTCCTGAACTGTGTAAAACCGATTTGTGCTTTATTCTTTGTTTGTCTTCCTAGTTTTCTACAAGGTGTCTATTAGGATGGTTACGATTCATTCTAATGCATCTTTCATAAATTTCTAAAGTGGCTTTTTCTCCATGCAGCCCGAGGAGTTCCACATTTGTATGGATTTCACATGCAGCAGTTGGAGTAGACCGCATAGCTCAGCAGATTAATCGGAGGGCATTATTTTGTACTCTGTCAAATCTCTCTAGGTTAGTTTTGGAGCAGGTTGTAAGCAGTGAGTTGTTGTACTTAATCACAGAGAGAACATATCCAAGATATAAGCCCCTCAGTTTCCTTTTTTTGACCCCTATGATGTACCTGCAAATCTCTTTAATAACTGTAACCGCCTCAACGCCTTATTCCTTACGTTTTCAATATGGTTTTTGAGGCTGAGCTGCCGGTCAAGTGTGACTCCAAGGTATATAGGATGCTCTTCTTTCATCACTTGGTGTTTGATTGTCTAACCTCAGGTTAATATTCTTCCTTGCTACTTGATGGCTTTTGGTAAAGATTGTGTATAGTTAACCTGAGTTTCCATCTTTGGCAGTACTCATGCAGTCTTCTTTGGGCTCCACTTTCCACATTTTCATGACTGCCATATTGCTAGGTCATCAGCGTACAAGGCCTTTTCCGCCTTGATTTGTTCTGGCAAGTCATTGATGAAGATTAGAAACAGTGTACAGCTCAATGATGAGCCTTGTGGCAAGCCCTCTTCCAAGACTTCTTTAGAAGAGATTGAGTTGTGTATCTTAGTCTGGATTGTTCTATCTATCAGAAAGTATTTCTCCCAGTTATTCAGTCTGCCATGTATTCCTAAGCTCATCATCTTCATCAGATGACCTTTTTTTCATACTCTGTTAAGACCTGCTGGAGGTCGACAGAGACGGCCGCTGTGTGTTTCTTATCTGGAAGCCGTCATGTATTCTTTGTGTTAGTCTGAACAGCTGGTCTTCTGTACAACTGTTGGTTCTGAAGCCAGCCTGTTCATGGCATAGAACACCAGAACGCTCTAGGAACCAGTACAAGCACCTGTTTATCATTCTTTCTGCAACTTTGCCCAAGCATGATGTTAAGGATATCGGGCAGTAGCTTTTGGGGTCGTCTGGGGGCTTTTTGGTTTTAAAATTTGGGGACGATATTGCATTCCCCCATGCCTTTGAAAGTTTGCTCGATCTCCATGTCTTATTAATAAGCCTGAGAACTACTTCTCTCCCAGACAGGTCAAGACGTAGCAGCATTTTGTTGTGTATCTTATCTAGACCTGGAGATTTTCAAGGTTTTAATTTCTTCATGGCTTGTTCTAATTCATCCATGCTAAATTCATCTTCAAAAAGGGAGTTGCTGGCTGTTGGAGCTCTCTCTTGTTTCTTCAACTGAGAGAGCTGTGTTCTATCGAGTTCTGACAGCTTACCTGCTCTGTTAACCGAGGCAAAATAATGATTGAAATGTTCTGCTTTCTTTTTGTCTTCAGTGATTGTCTTACATCCATCTGTTACTGATTTTGGGTTCACCCTTCTACTTTCTCCGAATAGGTTTTCAACTAAAGTCAATGCTTTATTTCCATTCTGCCTAAGGTCTAAGTTGGAGCAAGTTTCTGTCCATTTATATCTTTTAGTTTTATTAACTACAAGCTTTACTCTGGCATATGCTTTATTGTATTTGATCTTCACTTCTGTTGAACAAGCAGTTTCGAGTAATATTCTTGCTTTATTTCTTTCAGATATAGTATTTTAAATTTCCTTTTTCCAGAAAGGTTTATTGGCCTTCCGGCTGCCCCTTGGGATAGCTTTCAACGCTGCATTCAGGATTGCTTCTGTTAAATCTTCACAAAACTGTTCCACACAGCTGTTGTCAATTCTTCCCAGGAGTCAGTCAGATGTTTCCTGATATAGTTTCCAGTTTGCTTTTTGAAAATTTAGCGTAATTTAGCGGGGGTGCTTACAGTTATAAGTATTGGTTTGTGGACACTTCCTATGTCGTCCAGGACTTGGGGATAGCTTGCGTCTGCTAAGTCCGATGAGCAGATGGTCAGATCGGGTCGGCTGAGAGATAGGTGGGCCTTGTGTAACAGTGTAGGTAGAGACTATGTGTCCTGCAGCACTAATAGGTTAGGTTGTTGATGATAAAAGATCTATCACCATCATTACTTCTTGAAGCTAGGTACCTTCCAGTAACTACTACTTCACAACAAGAGCAGTAAACTTCTGCATGCACAGTTAATCCTTGAGACTTCTTGCTGTCAGTTTTCAAAACAAGACCGCTATATTTACATAGTAGACAACACAACATTTTAATGATTTCGTCAATTTAACTCAACTACTCCTCTGTTTTCCAGTTTTTTATGTTCACTATTATCAACAAAAACACCCATGCTGCTAGAGGAGGTCATATATTCATGCATATTTCTCTTAAACTGGCTTTGAGTTTTTTCTGCAAGAGAACTTTGAGAACTAAAACTAGAACTCAAACTATAACACGATGGGACAGAATCACTGATTGCCAAAATCCCAGTGACGCTAGTAACATCGACAAGCATGTCAGGTGCGTCACATTCCAAATTTTCGACGCTCTGGTAGAGTTTGCTTACGAGCATTTGTCAGTCGTAGACAAATAGCTGTTTAACTACTACTCATTGATACTAGCATTTTCATCTGCCTGTCTGTCACTACCCATATTCTCTTTCCCTCTTTGTCTGCTCACCCCCCATCTCCACCTCACAAGTCTAGTGCTGACATGGCCCCAGCTGACTCTGTTTTTCGATATTATTAGGTACTCTAGTCATGCTCAGAATTTGTTTTTAATATTGCAGCTAGCACAGTTAGGGTAAGTCTTAAAAATGCAATCCAGCGGTACCTCCTTTGAGTCTGTACCAGAATTCTAAGATTAAATATTTAGTTTGAGTGTCAGATTATACAATAATTGAAAAATAAAATAGAAGAAAATACATTTTCACAATGATCAGATCATGCCCTAAAATTGTATACACTTTAACTTTTCTGTTTGTGACCAATCATATTAGCAACCATATGTCAGTGTTCTTAGCGGTGACACACAATACAACAAATAATTATTTTTGACGTGTTTTGCCAATCTTCTTTCGTTCGTCTGAAATAAGTTGCCTATATCAGCAACTTTAATTCTCATATAAACTTGTTTTTAGTTTATTCAGTGGTCCTTAAAGTTTAGTTTCCAATGTTACTCTTTTTTTTTTGGGGGGGGGGGGGGCATAAAGTTTGCCTTTATATATCATTCAGTTCAATGCACTCTTTGAGTATGTGTTCTGCTGTCTAGGGTGGCTTTTCACATGTGAACATGTAACCATGAGATCTGCTTTTTGGTGTTGCCTCTAGCTCCAGTCTTATCCAGACAGTATATCCATTGAGTTCTTGAAGTGAGAAGGTCTTTGCTTGATAATACTGTAGCCATATTCTCCGTTGAACTTTGTTAAACATACTGAGAATAAGCATGGTTTGCTATGGTGATTTTAACTAGTTAAAACCATCTGCAAGCTGTATGGATTAGAGCCCCTTCCCTGCCCACCTACATACTTGAAACTAACCCTCTAAAAATCAGGAAAGAGTCAAACTTACAAGTAATGTGTGTAAGAAATCATTATTAGCAGGTTAAACAAGTGTGCTAAATTGTTTTCTTTCTACCTTTACAGGATGGAAATAATCCAATGATGAACCGCAAAATTTTCATTGGCCGTGTGACAGAGGACATCACTGCGGATGATTTGCGTAGCTATTTTAGCAAGTATGGAGAAGTGGTGGACGTATTCATTCCAAAACCACACAGAGCCTTCGCCTTTGTCACATTTGCAGATTCTGACGCCGCCCAGTCACTTTGCGGGGAAGACCATATTATCAAGGGTGCCAGTGTTCATGTCAGCAGTGCAGCTCCCAAGTCCTATGATAAGGTCAGTGATTCCGTCATCGTACAGAAGATCAGATGATGGTTATTGTTTGTGTCACAATATAGACATTTATATTATTTCTGAGTATGGTAAGTAATGTTAATGATCCTGTCTAATTATATCAGATGTCACCTGTACAGTCAGACAGGTCAGCAGTCTTCATCTACATAAAAATCTAGTTATGTGCCCATAATTCTTTATGTATCAAAGTAATTTAAAATAATTCTTTCTCCATTTCTTGTTATTTTTTAGATTTTTATATCATGTTGTCTTTATTTACTATATATTCACATTTAAACAGCAATCATTCTGTGTACAGACTTCTTGATGACATGGTTTTAATTAGCATGGTTTGCTCTGTAAGGATTATTAGAAAAGCTTTTTAAGAGCATTTTTGGTTAACATTTTCCCCCTTAAGTCTCAGTGATAAAGATCACAGGGTCATGTCACAAGTCACCCAATACATATTTGTTTTATGCCTAGGAAATGCATTCCATTTAACTCTTTCAGGCCCATTAATTTTGACAGACTTGGCCCACATTAATTTCCTTTTACAAAAATGGCAGAGGAGTGAGTGGGTGTACAAGAAAGGCAATAGAGAATGTAATATACTTCTAATCCTAGTAAAAGTATATACATTTTTAAAGAGAAATTAATGCATTTTGAATCTGATAAGTTTTTTTTTATATAGTTAGTAGGGAAAAAGAATTCAGCAGGTGTTAATTTCACGGCATTTTACAGATTCTTCACTTACCATGATTTTGCAGCCACACGAGTAGTGAATATATAAATTTGAGAACAAAACTTGCAAAGTTTGTTCAATTTCCTAACATATTCCAAAGTTTTAAGTTTCTGGGTTAGTTTAGCACTCAGGAGCTCTCAGCTCTCACAGAGTGTTGAGAAAAATTGCAGATAAAAAAATTGCCGAAAACTGAGCCATTACACGCTATTTACTATTTATTTTGTACAGTTATATACAGACTGTAACTGCAATGATTTCAATGTAGCTTAGCCATAGTATAGTACAGTCTCATTGTTTAGGGCACTTTCCTTCTCTTACACCATAAATACAGTAGCAATATCACATTGTCTGTGTAATAAACTCATCATAATCGCTAGATTCAGAACAGCTGATCACTCAGCTTCGCTGGTGAAAATGCCATGTACGAATAACATTCTGATAGGGAAAGTATCTGAAAGGATTTCGGCAGAGTGACTTTCAATGAATAGTTTAGTCGTACTTCGAATATTAGAATTAAGTAAGGAGCCGTGTGCGAAACAAAATGTACAGGCTTCCGATGGGTTCAATAACTCATTTTTTTAAAACACATTTGTGGGGCAGAAGGATTAAACTCCACACTAAGAAAGTAGAGGAAGAGAAGAAGCAAATAAATTTGAAGTTGTCGGTGCTGTTTTTATAAACATTTAAAAAGGGGCGGAGTGAGTAATAGAGGGGTCTTTAAGCTACTAGCAGACAGGCACATGCGAGTTCACTGCTACACCGGGACATTCAAAATTTGTATGTATTATTATTATATTTTTCGTCCAATAACAAACGTCTAACCATAGGAATTAATCACTAGATATAAAATCAAAAAAACGTTAATGGCTTTTCCTTTCTTTGACAATGATGATCTTTTTTTGTTTGTCTGAGTGATGTTAATGTGTTGTGCCTGTTTATAGCAGAGCTTTGATATTTACGTAAGCTGAATGGTTTTCAGGCACTGAAACTTAGCGATGTTGAAGTCCTGTAGAATGATCTAAGGCATGTAGCCGCTTTGTGTGAAAATGTCTGCTGTGATCCATGATTTTTTAATTAGCTGCATAAACACAATTATTTAAAACAACTTGGATTTTTTAATTAGCTGCATAAACACAATTTTTTTAATCAGCATTTTATTTTGAATTTACTGATTACAAGTAATGGCAATTTTCGGAACCATGCGTGTTTGTAAAAGCAATTGTGATTCTTTCGGATTTAAAAAAAAAAACGTGGCGCTTGTCATTTCAGGAGGAAAAAGTGTTGGCAGCAGTTAAAACAATTCAGTTTCATAAGCATTAAACATATCAGTGGAATTATACTCACTCATAGCACCTCTTCTGTCCATGGCGTGTTAGTTTCATCAACAGAATGCCTTTCCCAATAGAAAGCTTTGTAAGTAATGTTTTAAATATCTCTACCAGCAAGGACTACATTCCCAGCCAGTCCGACCTTTTAGGAATTCCTGTCCTTTGCTGTTAATATAGGTCTATTTAGAGAAACAGTTGCTGATCTTGCCATGATAAACCATTTTAGGAGTGCTATGTCAACCTTATTATTGTGTACGATTGCTGAAAGCATTGATTTTGGATAGCAACCGAAATAGTGGGAAGAGAAGGCATAGAAATAGGAGAGCGGGAACCTGGAGAAACATATTAGAGTGACTTACTGGAATTTGTCTAGTGCCAAGCAAAGAGGGCCTGTACTGGAGAGGCTGATTTATTAAGTACAGGTATAATATTTTAGTGTCCTGGATACGAAAGTTATCTCTTGATACAAAAGTTATATAAATCCTTTTGCACTAGGAAGACACAGGTAATGTCTACTAGTGATGAACAAGATGAAGTATGTGGTGCTTGACCATGGCAAGTGGAATAACAGTACAAGAGAGGTTTCAGGATATATGGATAGATAACGGGGCAAAACTTTGAATTGAGTAAATGTTTAGGCTGCTGTTGACTCTCTTGTCACAAAGGAACATTGGAAGTGGCTGAAATAGCTAGAGGAAATCCTTGGCGATAGCTTCTTGGATGTTCAGATTTTAATGCACAGAACAGAGCATGGGACAGTACTGAGGAAAATAGACAAGGAAATAGCCTAGCAGAGGCCATGGTTGATACAGTCAGTATAAATGACGGTAGGTCAACTAGAATGGCAATGAGACCTAGTGATGCAGACACAGCTGTTGTTTTGGCGTTTGTTACACAGGCAAGTGAAGCTATAACGGTAATTCTGGAATGTACATGAGATACCCTGGTTGTGATATATATATACTTGCACTGCCAACTATTACAGACAAGCTAAAAGTGCTGCAAGCTAAATCATATCTTAGAGTAGCTGCAGATAAGAAACATCTCCTGCAGCTTGGAGCCCTAGACAGAGCTGAAAGTCACAGACTGAAAAGAGGAAGGGCTTGGATGGCACAAGCTAAAGACACAATTAGACATGTGTGTAGGCTTGATAACAGGCGAGGAGAGGTATGGGTCAGAATGTCCCAGCAAAAGTCAGACTTGTGTGTAGGGTTCTGATCACGTCGTGAGTGAGTGACCCTCAGGCCCTGCAGAATCAAAAGTTCAACAAATGATTCTTGACAATTGTCACACAGCTAATGTCATATCTATTCAAATGGCTCTTTGTTGAGATGCAGATGATGCGCATGGAAGTTCTTAGAAAAGAAACCGATTGGACATCACCTATTGCAGCAAAGCCTGACATACAACACCATAACATCTAGTTCAAGAATGGAGGTGGAGACAGTCACTGCAACTTTCATGAGAATCAGCTCTACACATGTCGTAATTGTAACCGACTCACAGAACATGTTGAGAAAGGTGGAGACAGGTATATTGCAGAGTGGCAAGCATCACTTCCAAAGGTCTCAAGTAGTAAGCGTCCTTCAGATATTTTCTGCAGGTCATGTTGGGTATCGAACAGGCTAATAATAGACTGACCGGTTTTGCACCACTTGGTGGTGAATTGGTGTATTACAAGTTACTTGTTGTGATTTTTGATTGATTGATTTGATTCAAGAACCGACATCACAGCACTCAGGGCATTCCCATAAACGGTCCGTCCCCATCTTCAGCAGCCAATGAAGAGTTCCGATACTAATGGTACCAGCAGCATTCTGATTAAACGTCCGTCTTGCCTCGAGTATCTGCCAGAACCTCCCCGCTGCATCAATCTCACCAGACTGTGGTGATCCATCTGCTCCGAACTGTACACGCTCTCCTACAAGGCACTAACCACGTCTGCCTTATGTAGCAGCATTCCACCAAGTTGTGCAGAGCCAGCCAGTCTGTCCGCCTGTTCATTTCCCAACACATCTGCTTGCCCCGGTAAAAAAATCCAGACAATACTCCTCACCCGTGTCCTCCGCAGCAAAGCATGCCACTCTGCACAAAGCATACCTTTTCTGATATTCCTCAGCATGCTTTCTGAATCAGTTATAATCACAATGTGTGTATGTGTCGCGTTCTCTAGCCAGCGGAAAGCTGCAGTGACCGCTTCCACCTTCATTCTTAAGCTGGATGTTGTGGTATCATATGCTAGGCTCTCTGCACCAAATGTCGACCATTAACTTTTGCTAAGAAGTCCTAAGCACTTCTTTTGCCTCTTGACACTGAACTGTCTGTGTAAATGATCAAATCCTCTAAGCAAGCATTATCTTGAATTCATTGCAGAATTTCCACCTTTGTGGCACCTGCTGGCCAGTCTCTGCATTCCCGGCTCAGCGTGATTATGACTCTACACAGGTCTGACTGTTCAGGTGGCACTTTGACCCACTCCTCTCCTCGCCTAATGTTGCAAACCTGTCTGATTGTGTTTTCTGCCTAAGCCATCCATGACCTCCCTCTTATCAACCGCTGACCCTTAACTGCACCCAGAGCTTCATGCAGAGGATGGTCTGTGTCTGCAGCTACCCTGAGATAAGACTTCGCTTGCAGCACCTTGTGCCTACCTCAACCGTCGGCAAACCAAGGATGTATCACAATACACACCACTATGGTGTCTCTGGTGCAACCCAGAATGACCCGCATAGCCGCGTTCTGTATGCGCTCTAGTTTGTCCATCTGACTCTTTGAGACAGTAAGCAGTCCCAGGCCATAATCAACCACTGACAGGATCAGGTGCTGATATAGTGTGAAAAGCAGTGTCAATTGCAGCCATAGTCTTAAGTGCAGTAAGTCCTTTTTGGCATCTTGTCACAACATTCTCCACATGGTCCTTAAATGACAGGCTCCTGTCAAATGTAATTCCTAGATACTTCAGTTTGCTCTCTCTGTTGACATTTCTACCATATATCGTGAGACTTGGGACATTAGCTTTAACGATTCTGTTGTCCAGAACACCACAAAACAGACGCCTTTTCCGGGTGGACGACAGCCCTAATTTCTGTACCCCAGTCAGTCACTTTTTTACTGTCGGTTGTAGCTCCCGGGCTGTTTGTTCCCTCTCTTCCCCCTGCCTATATGCAAGTATATCATCTGCAAAAGTCAGTATCCCTCCAACTCCTGGTGCTTCTAGGCTTGCATTCTTATTCTTGCTTGTATACACGTTAAAGAGCGCAGGCGAGATGGCGGATCCCTGGGGCAGTCCTGGGGTCAAAGTGCATGGTTTTGAGATCCATGAGCCTAGTCGGAGAGCAACCCGACGTGAATACAGGACAGCTGCAACCCAATTCACCAACCATGGACTGACCTCCTTCTCCTTCAGTGCAGATGTCGTATCTCACTCTGTTATAAGCATCCTCGAGATCCAGTCCTACTGCCATAGTTTCCTGTCTTTTGGAACCCTTTATAGACGTCAAAAGCAAAAGTGGCCACATTTGCCCAAGTGTCCTTTCCTGGCCTGTAGCTTCCCAGACCTTTTGGCAGAAGCTTCCCCCTTTCCAAAGATGCTTGCAGCTTTACAGCAACTATCTTCTCCAAGACCTTCCCAAATGTGTTTTGTAAGGTGATGATTTTAAAGCCACTGAGCTTAGAATGATCTTTAAAAGGTTTTTGCTAGTTGGATTAGATAGCTGTGCACCCAGTACAGAAGTAAAACAAATGGCGATCAGGACAAGATGCTGTTGATGAAGTCTCCACTAGTTGTTGTGAGGGTCCTTTGGGAGTGAGTGAACAGTGCTGGAGCACACATAGATTATTACGGTCTGAAGATAATAAGGATGTAAGGATTTTTCAGGGAATCTGTTTTCACCAAGAGAAAGGCAGCACAGATAAACAGACAGTTACTCATGGAGTCCCTGATTTGTGGCGGCTAGACGCTGACCTGTGGATTAGAACGTCGTGGTTTTGGGTCTGGATGAAGCCGGACTTAAAAAAAAAAAATTACCTTGACTCCCAGGTCGACTCAGCCTTGTGTAGGTACCAGAAACGCACTGGGAAGTAAAGGTGGCCTGTGTGATGCTTTCCCCAACACCCACTAAATGTTGATTGGTCTAAAAATGTGTCTAGTTCTATATGCCCTAGATCATCATGGTCTCAAGAGAATTGCACTGCAAGGAGTGTTGGATATACTGTCAAATTGCTATTGGTACCATTGGAATTGGCACTCTGCACTTGCTGCTGAAGATGGAGACGGGGCGCTAATAGGAATGCCCTAAATGCTGTGATGTTGATTCTCAGACACTGATATCGGAATGCCGAATTCCACTGCTATTTCCATTTCATTTTTGCCACCGTTTGCCATTTTTGTAATGGCCCAGTCTCTCTTTTCAAAGATATGGATTTTCCTGTCCATCTATTTCAGACTGGAAACAACTCAAGCAAGCGCTCAATTTCCTAAAATAGCCGAGAGGTTACAGATGTCCAGAAATTAGGGAGAGAAAGGGGATCAGATTATATAGTCAGGATATGTTTAATCATAATGAATTTAGCTTAACCTGACATTTATTTGCAAAGAAGAAAAATTGCTGAGGATAAAGACATTTTTCTTTAAACAGAAATTCCATACATCTGAGATCGCCTAAAGCAGTCAGCACTGTGTAAATTCAGATTCACTTCCAGAGATTTTGACCCTTATGAGGAAACAACAACAATGCTGGGTTTAATGCCACAAATTTGGCCTGATCTTATTTACGCCCAAAAAACATTTATATTGACTATACCGTACATTTTTTTTCTTCATTAGAAAGTGAGTAAAATTTGCTTAGTTTTCCAATTAACGTTGTATTCATATTAAATAAACTAAGTGTTTTTAACATTTTCTTCCAACAGAATGCAGATCGCAAACATTTTGGGCAAAATGGTGGAGGCTATGGCCAGGGAGGTGCTAACTACAACCAAGGCGGAGGATGGAATCAGAGCCGAGCAGCAGCAACTGCTGTTGCTCCTCCTGGTCCAGTTGGAGGCAAAATGGTCAGTCCGCCAGAGGCAGCACAAGGAAATATTGGCATGAACCTTCTAAACTCTGCTATGCTTGCAGCAGCCCAAGCTCTGCTTCAGAACCAGGGAGCTTGGCCTGGCATAAACCCAGGCCCCAGCCAAGGGGGAAGTGGAGGTAATATGGGAAGTGGTGACCACCAACCTCCAGTCAGCAGTCATACCGGATTTAATAATATGGGGGGAGGAAATGTTGGTAGTAGCTCAGGGGGTAATTGGTGGGGAAATGAAAACAACTCATCCACAGGAGGAGGTCATTATGGAGGTTGGGGAGGCTCTCATGGTAGCAGAAGTGGTGGTTGGAGCTAGACTACAGGAGTTGAATGCATAAGAAGCAGGTTTTGAGCAAGAACAAGACCAGTTTTGAGAGCTGACTTAAGGGGTTAAATATCTGAAATGACTGTGTCAAGAGTGGTTGAATTAATGTCAGTCATCCGTTTTTTTGTTTTGTTTTTTTGGTGCATCAGGAAAGCGTCCATGATTTCCCCCCAACTTAAATGTTAAGCTTTCCCTTTTTTTTTTTGCAAATGTTCACAGAAGTACCTTTTTTCTGCTGGGTACTTGGTATGTTTTTATCTGCATTTTATGTAGTAAGTTTTCTGCGTTACAGATACATTTGACCATGATTACAGTCTTCATTTGTGTATTGTCATTTATATATTTGTGCAGCTTATGACAGCATAGAACTTCTGCTTCCAAATCATTCTTTAATATCCTTGGCCAGTTGAAAAGGTGTCTTCCTTCTCTGTTCACTATAGATAACTCCTTAAATGTTCCTTTATTATGCTTTTAGTCACTGTATAAAGCTTTTTTTCTTACATAGTGATATCTCCTTCTTTAGCAGTAATTTTCAGTGTCGTATGAAATAGTTCTAACTTTTGGTATTAATGTGTATCTTGATTAGCAGGCATGGATGCAGTTGCAGTGTCAAATATGCAAGTATTTAAACAGATTAGAAATATTTTGGAAGCAGATGCATGTTAGGCCACCAAGAAGTCAAAGTTAAGAGACGATGCAAATAGATTTTAAAAGTAGCGATATCTGAGTCAGTCATTTTCTTATAAATAGATGTTTGCAATGAAGAATTCAGAAGAAGAGTGCTTGGCAGAGTGGAGGTCATTCACTTGAGTATACCACATGCTTTAAAAAAAAACATTTTTCATATTTTAGGTTAAATGTGCGCGCGACTAATATTGTTTCTAAATCTTTCTGGCAAATGTGTTTTTAAAGGCAGACACATTTATGTAATTTTTTTTTCAAATGTATTAAATGATAATAATTTTAAAAAAGAGCTGATCCTAGTTTGTACATTTTTGTTTTAGCATTTAGTTTAAACATGAAAACCGGGGAAAAAAAGCTTTTATTTGTTAGTGACACTACGTTTAATTAGGTGCAGGAGGTCAGCACTGGGAGTACAAAAACTAGCATTTTGAAGGGATACTATTTTGACTTAATTATTTCCATTCATTTTTTGTTTTGGGAATGACATCTTTTATTTCATTACAATATTTAAAGCTTGCATTGTATCATTTGGTTTCAATAAGAATATATAAAACACTTGTTATCTGGACGTTTAATTATATTTTTTTTTCATTATCATTTGCTCCCATTATGTGAATGCTTGTCTGCAGCTTGTCTTATTTTTATGTCTCATAGAGAAAAAACATTAAATATTCTTCACTGGTTTTTTCTGAGACAGCTTGAGTGTCATTTCCTTTGCTTACTGTCACTTATTTTTTCATAAAACACTTTAAGTGGCTTTGGAAATAAAATCATATGTTTCTTAGATTTCATGAAGGGTAGTTCAATAGTATTGACTATAGTTTCTCTAACATAGCTGTTGGTGTCTATTACAAAAGATGCACAGTGTGCAGCTTTGCATTATCTCCTCGATTTTCAAACTGCAAAAGCAAGAGCACAGATTTCCTGAGTAAGTGATCCAGGTCAGAGCAGATACACAACATCCATTGCATTGTAAGAAGTAAAGAACCCTTTTCCACGCCTTTAAGCTTATTAGACATACAAGGCTAAACCTATATTTTATAGACGAACTGGCACTGAGTGGGTGATGTCATCATCATGCCAGCCGTCTTTACTTAACAGAACTTTTGCCTAGTGTCTATTTAAAGCCGAGTTGGCCTGGGAGCAAAGGCCGACTTAAAATGTAAAAAAATATCTGTTTGCATTTGAACCCACACGCTTAGGATTCGCAGGTGAGCGGCTGAAATTATGAAAAAATGGAGTAGATTAGAATGTGAAAAATCAATAGGTCAACGTCACTATTACGATTTGTTGTTGTTGAGAAATGAAGCCTGGTTGCGAGTTGATAGGTACTAATGCCACAGGGCTGCTCTGCATCCTTTTCATCAATGTGTGCAGAATACAGAAAGAAAACTAGTTACGGAGTTCATGTCTGATTTATGGAAGTTGTGGATTATATAATCATTTACACAAATAGGCATTTTATTATCAGAAGTTAAAAAAAGGTAAATATTGCACTGAAATACAATTCAACCAGTTGATGATCTGCCTACAAAAGCCAAAAGCAGATGGAGAAATAGGAGTAAAAAAAGCTCAGACATGGCAAATAGGTATAATCAAAACGCTTGTGAAAAACAAAGGCAGTAAGAAAGATTACACTAATAATTATAGGTTAATAAAAGATTACACTAATAATTATAGGTTAATACCACTAAGCTACACTGTTAATGTGAGCTGAATTAATCTAAAGAAAATAAGGATCATTATTGGAGAACAACACTTGGAAGTTCCGGTTGGATTTAGAAGAAACAACTTGCACAGATGCAGTAATTACAACATTAAGACAGCAAACGGAATAAGACCTGCAAAGTCGCATTTATAAACTAGGAAAAAAGCTTTTCATAGTGTAGTTAGGAATATTCTTTAAGTTTGTCTGTTGGATAGACAATCAGAAACCATATCAGTAAAAATAAATGACTGATAGAACAAGTGATTATATTTATAGTTAATTCTTTACACCAGAAGAAAGAATGTATAGAGAAATTAACACATACTGTGCTTATGCAGACCAAGTACTGGGACAATTAACATCACTGTTAACACAAAGAAGTATACCTTTGTATACCCAGGGAAATCTAATAACTGTGTTTGTGTGTGCAAATATATGCTACCAGTCTCAGACATGGACATTTAAAAAAATTAGAAGTGCAAAATCATTACAGGTGAGATGCTTTGAAATAAATGCCAGGGTAACAAGAAGAGAAAATAAAAAATGAAGAAATTGGAAGATGGACTGAAACCAGCCTTGCATTTGGTAATGAACAACAGGTGAGACTGGAAAAGGACACACACAGTTTGATGAAGATGAGTTTTTCGACACATTTTAGCTCAAATTATGTTGTGACTTAACTTCAGAAGGAAACTGACAGCAACACATTTCTTTCAAACTACTAAATGGGGCATAATAGTAAATAACACAATAATTAACATGGAAACAATTGACTTGATAGAAACTGCAGAAAGCAGATTCCTGGCATAGCAGACATGTTAGTCAGAATGCTGATTGATAACACAGGTAAAGGTGATATAGTTTGTAAAGATGGATCAGTAATTTGGGGCAGGCAAAGTGCAGGGGCGTTCACAGTAAGCTCAAGGGGAAAATCCATCAAGGAGATAAATGGCATCTTTGCTGTTACAGCTAGCAACCTGACAATGGAAGCAGGCTGTAACAAAGCTTTAGCATGGCTGGGTACTCAGAGTATTCATGTACTGACTAAATGAATTTGCTGAAGCAAATCCAGGCTGGGTTTGTCAGACAGGAATGGATTGTATCACTAAGCACCTTTTGAATGGCTTGCCTAACCCTCATCTTTGTGTTGAAAAATGTGGGTTTTCGAAACAATGAATGTGCTGTCTTACAGACACTGCAGCTGTTATGTCTGGACAGAAGCATTGTCATCAGTGCTATGCTCAGCACTTACCACGAAGATGTATATATCAAAAAGCATGATCCTTTATCTGTGTCCAAGCTGATGGGCATAATTTGCAACCTGGAGCTGCAAGAAATAAACATTTCACCAAAGGATAAAGACATTCGATTAATCAAATACAGAGTAGGACTTAGCTGTTTTACACTTGTGGAGCTATTGAGGTGAGCTGAGCATCTATGGATCTGTCCAGAGTGATGTGTTAGTAATGTTCACTAATCACATAACTTTACCCAAGCTTGCCTTTGTAGTATGTAGTGACTCAAGTATAGTTGAGATCAAGATGAGCTAGACTCAGAGATAATGGTTGGAGTCTGAGGCCTTGCTTGCTAAGGAAATCAGAGTTTCTGTTTTTGAGCCACTTCATGTATGTGTAAGTGGAAGCCTGGCTGGTGGTGTACAGGGCAAAAATTAAGTTACATATTTTCATTTATAATGTTATTCCAGTTCTAAATTCAAGTGAAAGTTAGAGAAAAAATAAAGACATAGAACTAAAATTGGATGCATTAAAAACAGTCTGAGAAAAATGATGAAATTAGAATGAGATGAATTCAAAGAGAGTTGAGAAATACAAGAAATGTTTTGGCAACCACTTGTAAGAGGCGCGATTTTTAAAGCTAAGTCCCACTATAAAATTTAAAAATAACTAGCATATATAAAAATGATTTATTGCAGCCACAAGTAAACCACACATTTACATTATTTCTCAACATAGCATCGACTTCAACATAACTTTGGTATCGTATCACCAGGTTTTCAAATTCCAGTTTCAAAGAGGTCTGCAGTTAGCTTTTTAAAAACTATTTATTGATGCCAGTTTGCAGTTCATCTTCAGTTTCAAACTGCTGGGATGCCAACAACTTCTTTAATTGCATGAAAAAGTGATAATCAGTTGGCATCAGGTCGGGGCTGTTGGGTGGGTGGTCACCAATTTTCCGTGAAATTTTGCAAAGATTTTTTTGTCCCAGAAAACAATGGCCGTGATCTTTTGACAGAAACTGCTTAAACTTCCTTGTTTTCGGGTACGATGAGTGTCGCCATTGCATCGACTGTAGCTTTGAATTGATGGTTGTGTAGGAAATTCAGGTCTCATCTCCAGTAACGATGTGATCCAAAAATTCATCTCCTTCATTTTGATAGCACAACAAAGATTTTTGAGTCGAAGCCAGGCATTTCTGCTTGTGTTCATCGGCTAAAATTTTTGGTATCCATCTAGCACACATTTTTTTAAATTCAAGGTTTCTTGTTTGTATCATAAATAAGTGAACGTGAAAAATTTGACAAGACAACGTAGATATTGTGAAACAGCAATTTTCCTGAATTCTTCGGTTCATTTCTTCG